AAATAAAATCTTAAAAAAAAAATTAACAATCCCTATGTCCATCAACACATAAATGGATAAACAAAAAGTGGTATATACATGCAATAGAATATCATTCAGCCTTTTTTAACAGCCTTTTAAAGGCAGAATTTTAAGAAAATTCTGACACATGCTACGAATGGATGAACATCAAGGACATTTGCTAAGTGAAATAAGCCAGTCACAAAAAGAAAAATATGGTATGATTCCACTTATATGAGGTTCCTGGAGTAGTCACACTCATAGAGACATAAAGTAAAATGGTGAGTGCCAGGGGCTGGTGGGAGGAGAGAATGGGGAGTTGTTTAATGGGTACAGTTTCATTTTTGCAACTTGAAAAGACTTCTGGAGATTGGTTGCACAATGTGAATGTACTTAACGCTACTAAACTGTACACTTAGAAATGGTTAAGATGTTAAATTTTATGGGTATTTTACCACAATTAAAATTTTAATTTAATAATTTCTTAATTTCATGACCTATCCGGTACTCAAATTTCCAATTCTTATAAACGTCATACTTTTCCCCCCAATGTTTGTTTGAATCAGGATCCAAATAAAATCCACGGGTTGCCACGGATTATGGCTCTTAAAACTTTTCTGACCTATAGGTTTCCCTTCCCCTCTCTTCCTTACAATTTATTTAAAGAAACAAGGTCGTTTGTCCTGTGGTTTCTCATAGCTTAAATTCTGCTGCCCGCATCCCATGGTGTCCTTTAATACTTTCCTTAGTTCTCTGTATTCCCTGTAAATTAGTTGTCGGACCTAGAGGCCCTGGGCCAATTTTGATTGGGACTCAGAAAGGGGCTAAAGACGTCCGTTTCTGCGGCAACGGCCCAGCTGGACCTGAAAAGGCGAGGCTAAGCCAGCAGCCAAGCTGCTCAGAGAGACAGAAACGCCGTTTACACGTCTGAGTCAGTAACCTAAGAAAAGCTGGGGTAGGAGGAGAGACGACCGGGCGGGACTACGCTGGGAAAACCCTTTGTCTACTTTCCACGCACGTCAGAAAGTTACTGAAATAAACAGCCAACGGGGGCGGGGCCCTTGGCGGAAATGACATACATGCGGCCGCCGGCAGAGCGGCCATAGAGACGGGGAGACGGATAGAGAGGCTGCTCCAGGGTCGCACTTCCGGCCATCTCCTTGTGGGGGGGGCGCGCATTGTGGAGTCGGGAGCCGGCCGTGCCAGTTAGGGTCTCCGGTGGCCGGGACCGCTGTAGCGGCCCCGCGGGCGGGATGTTCCGGGGTTTGAGCAGTTGGTTTGGCTTGGAGCAGCCGGCGGCGGGTGGCCGGCAATCTGAGGGAGACGGGCTGGTCGAGGGAGACGCTCCACCCCAGCAGTGCTCCGAAGAGGTGTCAGAGTCGGTGGAGGGGGAGCCGCGGCAAGCGGGGGACCAGGAACTCCTTCATCAGGCAAAAGGCCTCGGCAGTGAGTCTCCTCCGGCCCTCGGGACCAGAGTGTGTGTGTGTGTGGGGGGGTGCCCGCTCCCTTCTCTTGACGCCCGAGGGCGCGGACCCGACTGGTTGGGGGGTGTGGGGTGGGTGGAAGGGGAGAAAGGTGTGTCTGTCACTCGGTCGTCTTGGGACAGGAGAGGTTGATGAGGATCTGGGCAAGGCCGAAGTTTCATCTAGCCGTCAATCCTGTGCCTGAAGTTCCTGGTGACAGGTCAGTTTTTACGAGGTGTGTAAACATTGGGAGCCAGGGCTCCCGTAAAACGGTGTGGTTCGACGTCTTCAGGTTTGACAAGGAATCTTTTTTGTTTAGTTCTCCAGCTTTCACCTCCACACGCCCAGCCCCAGGACGGGGGACGTTGGGGAACTTTTAGTTGGTTGGAAAAGTGCCCTCTTGTGCCCTTAGGGCACAGTGTGTTGTCTGAAATAAATTGCGGGGAAGAGTTACCGAAGGCCTCCCTCAGGCTGGTCTCCTTTTTAGGTGCAGTGGAATTTTTTTTTAAGGCGGAAAAGTAGCTGTCCCTTTTTGTCGGCGATGCAGGTTTCGGTACTAGATGTTTGATGAACGATATCTCATTTAATCTGTTAAACCTCCCAGTGAGTTGGGAGAACAAGCCCAGAGTTACTGGCTCAAAGTTAAACTGACAGTAAGCGGTAGACGTGGAATTTGAACCTAGGTCTGTCTAATTTGAAAGCCACAGTATAGTTAGGGAGGAGAGTAAAAGTAGTAGGTTTGAAGAATAAACACATAGCTCTGGTAATTCTGATTCTGGAGACCTTGGCAGGCTTAAATAATAAAAGAAAACGTCTTTGAGAAGGTGGGGCCTAAAGCAGATTTCACTACAAGTGAGAGAACTGCCGCAAAGGTAGATACTAAATTTAGCAAGCGTTTTTTAAGAATCTGCTAAAAGGCCAGATCATAGGGGAGGCTGGAGCCTGAGAGTGGAGAAACACATATTTGAATGAGAAAGGCTCTAACATTTCAAGAAGTTTGGGGAGGGGGCAGGGAAAACAGACATAATCTCAAGACATGGCAGTACAGAATCTCAGCTCAAGGTCCCCAAACAGTGCACAAGAGAAATAAAACTAAGTGCTGTGCAACAAAAACTCTAAAGAGGGAGCAACTGTTTTGTGTGTAGAAAACTGAGAAGAAATGAGCTTGCAATACTCAAAAGATGTGAGATGAATTGGACTAGAGCAGAAAGGCTATGTTAGGTATTTGAGATAGATACAAGTGGGACCATGTTAGGAAAAGCAGGGTATGGGTGTTTACTCCATTTCATAAAACATAGAGAACCATTTTCGTTGATCTTCAGGGGACTATCAAAAGTCGTTTTTTTTTGTTTGTTTTTTTTTTTTTTAGGTAATCTCTATGCCTAACATGGGGCTTGAACTCACAACCCTGAGATCAAGAGTCACATGCTCTAGTGACTGAGCCACCCAGGCGCCCCAGAAGTCAATTATTAAAACAGTGAGGGCTTTATCGTCAACTTGAAACCTCACATTTGTATTTACTTATTTTTTTAAAGATTTTATTTATTTATTTGAGAGAGCAGGGGGAGGGGCAGAGGGAGAGGGAGAAGCCGACTCCCCACTGAGCAGAGATGTGGGGCCCAATCCCAGGACCCCGGGATCATGACCTGAGCCAAAGGCAGACGCTTAACCAACTGAGCCACCCAGGCGCCCTATATGTTATGTAAAAAGACTCCTCTCTCTCTTTTTTTAAAGATTGTTTTTATTTATTTGAGAGCAAGAGAACGAGCAGTGGGGAGGGGCAGAAAGAGAAGCAGACTCCCTGCTGAGCAGGAAGCCCCGGGGCTTGATCCCAGGACCTCCCTGAGATCATGACCTGAGCCGAAGGCAGAGGCTTAATCAACTGAGCCACCCAGGTGCCCCGAAAAGACTCCTCTCTTAAAAACTGAAATTAAGTGTCTCTGAGCCTGACTCCCACTACGTAGATGTAGATTCATTTCTTTTTTTTTTTTTTTTAAAGATTTTATTTATTTATTTGACAGAGAGAGAGAGAGCACAAGTAGGCAGAACAGCAGGGAGAGGGAAAGGAAGAAGCATGCTCTCCGCTGAGCAGGGAGCCTGACGTGGGGCTCCATCCCAGGACCCTGGGATCATGACCTGAGCCGAAGGCAGCCGCTTAACCGACTGAGCCACCCAGGCGCCCCTAGATTCATTTCTTTAGCCTTTTAAAATCTACGTGGGCTCTTACACTCAATACTACCTAAATACTTCTGGTTCATGGTGATCTATTTGTAAATTTAGGCAATTCACCAGTTAGAAATGGTGGACACCCAGGCCTAGATTCCACTCCCTTACCCAAAACCAAACCTTCCCATCCTTGGTCCTTCTTCCTGATAAACTCTGGCCTCCTAGGATTACCTGCTTCTGAAGGAGGGCAGTATGCCAGCATTGGTGGTATAGTGGTGAGCATCGCTGCCTTCCGAAGGAGGGCAGTTTATAAGGGAACTCACAGAAGAGCTCCTCCCTACCTCCCTGAAGTCCTGATGCCCCAAAGTAATTTCTAATTCAGCACAAATTGGTTGCTTGGTTTTTGTTAAAATCGACCAAATTGAAGCTTTATCTGTACTCTTCCTTTAAAAAAAAAGATCCAGGGGCGCCTGGGTGGCTCAGATGGTTGAGCGTCTGCCTTCGGCTCAGGTCATGATCCCGGGGTCCTGGGATCGAGTCCCGCATCAGGCTCCCTGCTCCTTGGGCGCCTGCTTCTCCCTCTGCCTCTCTCTCTCTCTCTCTGTCTCTCATGAATAAATAAATAAAATCTTAAAAAAAATAAAATAAAAAATCCGTACCTCTGAGAGTGTTAAATACATGAGTCATTTGCACAGTTTAAATAAGTGGGAGGATGGCCAAAAATGAGCTTTGGTTTTTTTCAAAACCGTCTCTAAGGCCAGTCCATGCCCAGAAATAGAGGAAGGGCCACCTCCTCTTCTTTGAAAAGTGCTCTTAGTATTTGCAGTGGAACTGTATTAATTAGGCCATCCTCTTTTTCTGTAAGGAAAGTGCATTTCAAGTTCTAGGTGCCTAACTTCCTTAGTTTACAACTAAGAAGGCCCCAAAAGTTAGTGTGTATGTAGGAAAATGTATGCCTGCTTCAATACAGAAGTAAAATAACTGATTCAGTTCTGATGACAAACCCAGGTTTACCATGAGGGAGGGCAGTGCAAATGGTCAAAAGCTTGGATTCCACAGCTTATAAACAATAATAAAGAGAACTGGGGATTTTATTTATTTTTTTTAAAGATGTATTTATTTATTTTGAGAGAGTGAGACAGAGAGAGAGAGTACATGAGAGCGGGGAGGGTTAGAGGGAGAAGCAGGCCCCTCGCCAAGCAGGGAGCCCGATGCGGGACTCCATCCCCGGACTCCAGGATCATGACCTGAGCCGAAGGCAGTCACTTAACCAACTGAGCCACCCAGGCGCCCCATGAGAACTGGGGATTTTAGCTTGAAGAAGAAACTTGGGGCATTGCTCAAAATTCTGAAAGTCTTTTTGTAGAAAAGTCATTATATGTTACTTAAGAGGACAGATCTAAGTCTGAGAGGTAGGAATAACAAGGAAAATGAAAAGGATTTTCTAATTAGAGGGGGATAACAGTAATAATTGGCTACGCTTTGAAGTCATGTGCGCCCCATCCCTGGAAGTAGGGCTGCCTGGATAAGAGGTTCAGTTAGGTAACCTCTAAAGCCCCTTCCAACATGAAGATTCTAAAATTGTATGAAATACAGTATTTTTGAAAAATTAGCCAGCAATGGCTTAAGAATATTGGTTTTAGAAACCACTATCTGCTCCTTATTTTCTTAAGGCAGCAAGCCTTAATCTCTTTATTCTTTTTACTCTGACAAATGTATGCTTTTTCTGACCTTGGAGAACCTTCCCACTTTCCTTTATCCTTATCATTCCATTCAGTTCTGTAAGCCCTTGTCACTTGCTCATATGAGATGAGTCAGTATGGAATTGGGGCACAGGCTTGCCAGTTAGAAGCAGATAGCTTGTGTTTGAGTTTCCTGCACTGTTGTCTTTATTGTGATATCATTTGCAAATTACAGAAAATTCAGCTGCAAGTTACAGAGAATCCAACAGAGGCATAATGAGAAGACCTTGATTATGTCGGAAGTTCCCAAGACCACCCCTAGGTTTGATGAGCACCCACCAAAATGGGGGTTGTTTTGGCAAGAAGGAAGGGGCTAGGCATTGGATAGGCAGTCAGCAGAGTCTGCTGCTATCTTAATGGGCAAATCATTTATCTTCTGTGAGCCTTGGCTTTCCTATCTGTAAACTGGGCAGATTATACCTATTCTTCCCAGGATGATTGTGAGATTAAAATGACTACTTTCATGGGGCACCTGGGTGGCTCAGTCGTTAAGCATCTGCTAAGCGTCTGCCTTCGGCTCAGGTCATGATCTCAGGGTCCTGGGATCGGCCCCGCATCGGCTCCCTGCTCTGCGGGAAGACTACTTCTTCCTCTCCTGCTCCCCTTGTTTGTGTTCCCTCTCTCGCTGTCTCTCTGTCAAGTAAATAAATAAAATCCTTTAAAAAATAAATAAATAAAATGACTACTTTCATTGTTAGCAGTTTGCCCCCTCCTTCCATAAGGCTGCGTCGTCATACTCACCGAGAGCCATTTTACTTAGTCTTCCTTTTCTTCTTTGGTTGCTGCTTTAGTTCAGACCTCTTTGTGCCTATGTTCCTGAAGTGGATATTGTACTCCCATTACTTCCTGTTAACTCTTATCTTAGTCTCAATTTTTTCTAACCACTTAATGAAAACTGTCTTTAACTTGGTGTCATCCAATATATTAATTTGCAAAATTAATAAACCACTTCTCATCTTTATGAGCTTCTTACCTGAAAAATCTCCTATCATGCTTTCCCACACCCCACTCCCTCTGACTTCAGAATCCATCGCACTCTAATTACTCTTGGGAGACCTTCTCCCTCCCTTCTCTGAGTGCCTCTGTTTAATGATTATTCTTGCTTCTCTTGTCTTTGAGCCTTTTATTGGCTTGTTTGTTTAGAAATGGACATTCCTTGAGGGCAAGAACTGTATTTCCTCCAGTGTTCTCCATGTTCAGTGTACTCTACTCTTGGAGTCATTAAAATCTGAGAATTGAGATTATTATGCTAAAATACCAGTTATTATTTTTTTAAGTTTATTTATTTATTTAAGCAATCCCTACACCCAGTGTGGGGCTCGAACTCATGACCCCGAGATCCACAATCACACGCTCTTCAGACTAAACCAGGCACCCCAAAATACCAGTTTTTAAATGGCAATCCTCCTTAGAATAAAAATGATGATTCTAATTAAAAACATTCTCCTGAGAAAATCTTAAAAGGAAACCCTGCTCTTTTAGAACTTTAGATTTCTTTGACTGTCAGCAAAGAATATTTTTACAAAATAATCTGGCTGTCTACCCAATTTATCATACCACTTTGTAAATAGATTAGTCATAACCAAAGAGAAATGAGGGACCGCCCTAAAACTCAGCACTATTATGTTGCTCCCCATTCATCCATCTAGCAAGTACTTATTGGTCATTCATTGGGGATACAGTGGTGAATCAGACAACCTTGGTCCCTGCCCCAGTGGGACTTAGGATGGGCCTTCAGTCTAACTGAGAAGACAGAGCCACCAAGTAATCAGTAGTGTGTCATGAATATTGTTGGTCTGGCAATACAGGTGCTGAGGGAACACATCTCAGGAGCTCCTGCTCTAGTCAAGGAGCCAGGGAACATTGCCTGAGAAGTGCTATCTATGTAAGCGGAGACCCCCAGTATATGTAGAGTTGGCCAGATAAAAGTGTTTCAAACCAAGGAATAATGTATCTGAGACCTCCTTGGAGGTACTCAAGAATTTCTCGGGGTCATATGAATGTAGAATAGGAGGGGGAAGAATGGTGAGAATGAAACCAGAGGCAAGTAGTATCCTGTGGTATAGTCACAATGGGCTGTTGACATCACTGACAGGTAAATGCCACCAAACACAATGGGAGAAAGTAGACTGCTTATGGTAAAGGCTACAGAAAGTGGGAGAGAGGGTCATTCTGATTGGCAGATAGTACTGCTGCTCCCAGATAGCAGTACAAGTTGCCTGATTCTCTGGAAGAGATACCAGCCACCAGTGAGGGTTTAATCTGGTGTGCCAAGCTCCCTTTGCCATTCTTATCTGGGTTTTCCCCCGCCTGAGTGTTGAGAGAGTCAACCTACCTGCCCCTCAGCAGGTACAAGTAGCGGAGGCAAGACTGCCCTAACTTAGAGAGTATTTCCCACTAGATGAGATTGGAAGGCCAGTTGCCCAGGAACATCCCCTAGCAAGTCCAGCTTCAGAACCTGCCTGAGGTTGCTTCCTGCAGCCTGCATTGTATACAGTGTGGACTTAGAAACAATATTTGTTGGGGCGCCTGGGTGGCTCAGTCGTTGGGCGTCTGTCTTTGGCTTGGGTCATGATTCCAGGGTCCTGGGATCGAGCCCCGCGTTGGGCTCCCTGCGTGGTGGGGGGCCTGCTTCTCCCTCTCCAGCTCCCCCTGCTTGTGTTCCCTCTCTCGCTGTTTCTCTCTCTGTCAAATAAATAAAATCTTAAAGAAAATTATTAAAAAAACAATATTTGTCTACGTACAGACCTTTATGTTATAGTTGAAATAGAGCCTTGATACTTGTGTCTTCAAGTTTTCAGGAAAGTTAAATTTGTGCTTTTGCTTTGTTTTGTAAAGATGAAAGTTTGCGTGTTCCAGTTTTGTTTTTATTTTTTTATTTATTTATTTTTAAAGATTTTATTTATTTATTGGACACAGAAAGAGCACAAGCAGGGGGAGCAGAGGGAGAAGCAGGCTTTCCACTGAGCAGGGAACCTGATGCAGGCCTCGATCCCAGGACCCTTGGGATCATGACCTGAGCTGAAGGCAGGCACTTAACGACTAAGCCTCCCAGGTGCCCCTACGTGTTCCAGTTTTAATCTTATTCTGCATATTTGCTCATTATTATTAGGTTAAGGATTTATGTTTATATTAGGGCTTGCCAAGATTTCTATTTATTAAAAATTCCTCCAGATTTATTACAGGATGGCTTAATCTAGGGAAGGAAGGGCATGTTTTCTTTGAACAAGAGGGAAGGAGAAAATAAAATAGGATATTTAGGGTCTGGAAAGGAAGGAAAGTGAAAGGGAGCCTTGACCTTATTTGTAAAGTTGGAAGGAAGATTATCTACTGAGATAAATTAAAATGAGAGACTGGAGAAGGGCAAGACAAGTGTGAAACAGCTACTGGGGGAGAAGGGGTGGGAGAATGCTAGCACTTTTGAAAGAGATAAATTAAAAGCCTGGTATGGATGGCTAGCCCACCCAGAAAGTGAAGTACTGTCAGTGCTGTCAGTGTTTGAAGTCCTAGTTAACAAGAATCGTGCCCTGTGGTTTAAGATTCCCGTGAGAGCTCTTTAAGGGAACAATTACAAATATAATAACCATTGTACTTGAACGGAGCATGGACTGTCTTTTATTCTTTACAGACTATCTGTTTAGCTTTGCAACTGCTGCTACAAAAAAGATAACTGAATCAGTTGCTGAAACAGCACAAACAATAAAGAAATCAGTAGAAGAAGGAAAGATAGATGACATCATTGATAAGGTACATTTAAACATCTTTTGAAATTGATTAGCAGCTAATATAATTATCCCTTTTTATGAACTTTATCAACCCAAGTAGGATATCATATTCTGATAAAAATATTGTTTTGAGATTCTTGGGGGTTTTTTTTTCTCTTTTTGTGTAAGAAGTAGCTATGATTTAAATAACCTTGGTTTTAATTTTAATATATTCTAAAATACACTGATACTTTTGGGTAACACTAAACTTTTATATTGTGAATTTAATTTTAAACTATAACTGTTTCCAAATATTTATGCCTTTGAGTCATTCATTTAAGTGTTTAAAGTCCTAGCCCATTAGGAATTACACTTTTAAGTAAGTTTGTTCATTTCCTACAGTGGTAGGGTCCAAGCCCAGGGAATTTCACTTATTTTGGGAATTATTTGAACTAAGGAGGTCATCAATTAAACTTTAGATAGCTTGTTATTTAGATGCTTTGTTATGTGTACTATTTGTTAGAATGAGATTTGACTTGGTTTTTATTGTTTTTTTGGAATAAAGCAAAAATTCAGCTTTTAACTCATTTTATCTTTGCATTTGAAAAGATAATCCATCACAAAAGAGTTGTATACTTGAAATTCAGGAATGTTGAATTTCTGTTTGTTGGGGAAAGGGGGAAGTATTACTTTTTTAACCGTTTTATTTGAAGAAAATTAATAAAATATCTCCTGACTTCACAAATCTTAAATGTAATTCTTATCTAATAATAAAGTTCTCAAAGTAACTTGACTTTTTGTATATTTTTTAACAGACAATTATAGGAGATTTTCAGAAGGAACAGAAAAAATTTGTTGAGGAACAGCTTACCAAAAAGTCAGGTATGATATAGGTTTTTTGTACACGATGTACTTACCTGCCAGATTTTATTGAGCACCTATTAATGTGCCAGACACCACACTAAGGCTCTGACAATACAAAAATGTGTAAGTAACAGCCCCGTCCTTCGGTAGCACAAAGACTAGTTGGGGAGACAAGCTCATAAACGTTTGGGCTTTAAAGGAAGGAAGGATATTGTTCCCTGTGGCTGGGATGGAGGGTGAGACCAGCGGGTGACAACCCCTCTGGGGAGCTGGCTCTGAAAGAGAGTGAGCTTTCATTTCTCAGTTTAGAACATGTCCAGCACAATGTGTGATGTACACATAATAGGCACTTAGCAAAAGTTGGCTTCATTCCCATTCTCGTCAGGAGGAAAAAATGAAAAGAGCTTTCCAGCGGAGTGACAGGGGGCTGTGAAAAGTCACGAGGTGTTGTGAGAAATTACTCAATACATTTCTTTCTTCCTTTTTTTAAAAAGGATTTTATTTATTTAGAGAAAGAGAGAGTAGGGAGCCCGATGCAGGGCTTGATCCCAGGACCCTGAGATCATGACCTGAGCCAAAGTCAGACGCTTAACCGACTGAGCCACCTGGGCGCCCCTCAATACATTTCTTTACTGACAAGTGCTCGTTTAAATGTTTGATAGTTATCGGGTCTCAGAATGTCTACTTTTGCTGTTTGGATGTACTCAAACACAAAGCTGGCCTCATGTCTTTGAATTTGGCAAAAGGGTAAAATAATTCGATCAGTTTGAGCAGTGCCACAAATTCAAAAAGAGCTAGTTAGTCGTGTGGTGAGTCAGGCATTGTCATGCCTAGGTAAACTCAAGGTGTAAAGCAGATCTTTGGGACAAATACTCTGTACACATTAGCATACCTTCGTGATTTGCAGGAAGCAGTGTGGGAAGCAGTGCAAGTGATTCTGGCTTAGAGACTTGGGGTAGGATTTGGTTGCAGCCTCTGAGATAGGAACTTGGAGGCAGTAGGGTGAAAGGATTGAAGGTACTTTCAGTTTTGAGGTGCCCAGGTGAGAGGAACATGTACAGAAGCAGGGAAGGGAATGCAGGTGGCATATCAGGAATATGCCCTTGCTCAGTTGCACTAGTCACATTTCAAGGGCCCAACAGCCCCATGGGAGCTACCGGCTTCCATATTGGACAATGCAAACCTAGAACATTTCCATTATTACAGAAAGTTCTTTTGGTCACAACTGCTCTAAATTAACTGAATGGGGTCCAGCAGCAGCAGTTGATTCCTATTGGAAGCATGGAGAATTCCATCTGCCAGTAGAGATTATTAGTCAAGTCATGTAAAAACCATGAGAGTAGGTGACCTCAGTGAAAAGTGTGTCAAACATGAAGAGAGCTGAGCAGAGATCTAGTGTTGAGGGGAAGGGAGGAACGGGAGAAACTGACAGTTCCTCAGCACCTGCTAAGTGGTGGGTACTTTATATACAGTATCTTCTTTAGTAAAAGGAAGGATTAGCAAGGTTAAGTGATTTGCTGAAGGTTGCTCAGCTGGTAAGTGATGAAACAAACCTGCCATTTAAAAAACAAACAAACAAACACAAAACTGCCCATTTACCTGAGAGAGAACAGCTAGGAGAGAGAAGCAATGGAAGCCCACAGAGGGGAGAATTTCAAGGAGAGTGAGGTCAGCTGAGAGGTCCATTTACAAGGACCGTGATGAGAGGCACTGTGTGAGTATCCCACATGCATTTGTTAATTTAACACTCACAGTAACTCTCTGAAGTACTTTTCTCTCCATTTTGCAGAGAAGGAAACTCGGCCTAGAGAGAAAAGAACTAGGAAGTGTCCATGGGTTGGACAACCAGGAGGCTATTGGTTTACCCTAAAAAGAGCAGTTTAGAGGAGCAGGGAGGTGGGCGGTGTCTCATCCGTACCAGTAGGTTGGGCCTTGAGAGGACCTCACCTGAGGGTAAGAAACACCAGGAGAGGCTGTCCAAGGTGAATAGACTTAAAATGGAGACCAGAATATTAAAGTAAATAGTGTAAGGGGAAAAAAAGTTGTTGTTGTTTTTAAGATTTCATTTACTTATTTGCCAGAGAGGGAGGGAGAGAGAGAGAGAGCGAGAACACAAGCAGGGGGAGCTGCAGGCAGAGGGAGAAGCAGACTCCCCGCTGAGCAGGAAGCCCAACGTGGGGCTCGACCCCAGGACCCCAGGATCATGACCCGAGCCGAAGGCGGATGCTTAACCAACTGAGCCACCCAGGCGCCCTGGAAAAAAGTTTTGAAAGGGCTTTACCCCAGATTTTTTTTAAGTATGAAAATATGTTTATTTTATCTTATAGTTAATGGAATTTGGATTATAATTGCCACATTTGCTTGCCTAGGATAAGCCAAAGAATGAGCCAGGTGTCTGTCCACATGTCCATCCACACATGCACATAACTCTTCTATCAGCTGGTACACAATAGGATGTCTCTTCCATTGGACTTTGCAACATGATAGAAAGGGAGGTTGTTTTGGCGAAAATATTAGGACCCCCTGCATGTCTGTCTTCTGTGCTGACCCCCACCTCCACAGCCTTGGCTCTGCCCTCTTGCGCTGCCCTGGTTCGGATGGTAGAGCTGCTCAGATGAGCAAAATACGGTCTTTGTCTCCACTCTTTCACACTTGCTGCTCCCTCTGAATACCCCCTGCACACATCCACCACTGAATTCCTCCTAGACCAAGATCAGCTCCCAGGTCTCCGCAGAAAACCCCTGGGACTCACCTCTCAGTGGTTGCCATTTGTTTTCTGGCATTATAAGCCTGCTTAAGTTGTACTCCTCCTTTTTCTTGTGAGCCCCAAAGACAATGTGTCTTTTGTAGATCCTGGCCCTGTTGTTTATTGCCGCTGATTTGCCTGCCCATTTCTTTCTTCATTTGCTTTCAGTCCTGACAACCCTTTTCTCAATTCCTAATTACTTATCACCTTTTGTCATGAATCAAGTACAGTGACGTTTTAAAAAGAACTTTTTAATTAGAAATAATTTCAATTTACAGAAATTTGCAAGTATAAAAGGAGTACTGAGAACACCCCCGACACCCTCTACCTAGATTGTTGGTTTTATTCCATCTGCCTTATCCTTTACTCTCTTTCTCACTCTGTGTGTCTTGTCTTTTCTGTTCCACTCAGTGTGTGTTTCCTAAGAATTAGGGATATTCTCTTACACAATCCCGTTATCAGCTTTAGGAAATACAACATTGATATAATGTGCATATTCTAATTTTGTCAGTTGACCCAGTAATGTCCTTTGTACATTTTCCCTCTCAATACAGCATGCAGTCTAGGGTACAGTATTGTAGCTTTTGTCATGTGTCTTAGCCTCCTTTAATCTGCAACATTTCCGTGGTCTTTGTCTTTTAGGACATTAATGTTTTAGAAGGATACTCCCCCCCTTTTTTTTAAGACTTTATTTATTAGAGAGAGAGAGAGCACCAGCAGGGGGAGGGGCAGAGGGAGAAGGAGAAGCAGACTCCCCACTGAGCAGGGAGCCCGATGCGGGCCTCTATCCCAGGACCCTGGGATCATGACTTGAGCCGAAGGCAGACTCTTAACCGACTGAGCCACCCAGGCGCCCCTCCCCCCCCCTTTTTTAAAATAAACCATTCCTCAGTTGGGCTTTGGCTGATGTTTCCTCATGATTAGATTCAGATTATGCATTCTTGGCCAGAATACTACATAGATGATGTTGTGACCTCCTCAGGATATCACATCTGGAGGCCTACAGTGGCCATCTCTTTCTCATTGGTGATGATGATTTGGGTCACCTGGTCAAGGTGTTGTCCATTTCTCCACCATATAATTTAAGTAATTTTTTTTTTACCAAATGCTTACATGCTTTAGTCATATATCACGTCTGGGAATTACGATGAATGTTCATGTTTGGAACTTGTTAGTAAATTGCTAAAATGATTATGTGGAAACTTTCTCATTCTTTCAAACCACAGATTGCAGTGTAACCCTTGTAAGCTGTTTTTCTCTTTTCTTTGTTATTAAAAACCTTTAGAAGCAGCAGTGCCCCCATGGGTTGATAGTAATGATGAAGAAACAATTCAACAACAAATCTTGGCCTTATCAGCTGTAAGTATCTGTGATTCCCTGTGTAGAAATGCTTTCTTCCTATTGTGGTTTTATCCTTAGAATGTTTTTCTTCTATACAGTTTTTTAAATGTTTTGAGATGTTAGGACTGTACACATCAACTTTCACTGTTTTTTCCCCCTAAGTCTCCCCCCTCCAGTTTTAACCTGCTTCTCTTTAAGTTCTTTTTTATTAATGGTAAAGTATAATCTATTACACAAAATAATTCTTTCAGCCTTAAAAGGATTCTTTTATATTACTAAGATAATCTTTGAGATATGCTATCATATAAACTTTGTAGATAGCATTCTAGTTTGTCTGAATGAAAAGATGGTATTCTGAATTTTCTCTTTAACTGTTACATATATTTGAAACTGAAATTGAAAAAAAATAAAATTTTCTGTGCTGGCCCACAAAAATTTCAAGACTTCAGAGGGAACACAGTGATACCAGTTAACAATTGTATAGCACCTGACAGTTTCAGAAAGAACTTTCTTACGCATTATCTCCTTTGAGCTTCACGCACATCTGTGAGGTAGATAGGAGCATTTATCGCCATATAGAGCGGTGAGGATGTGACTCCCAAATGTGACCCTCACTACTTAACATGTGTCTCAACTGGGCTGTGCCTTCTTAGTGGGCAGAAGCTGGCTTTGATCTCTGTCCTCAGCATCCAGGAGCCTGCCTGGCATAGGACTCAGCAAATAGGGCTTTTACTGTATCAGTGGCTTTCAAGCTTTGTTTTTAATCCACTCTTTTTTTTAGCTAAAGTCATAAATGGAACTTCAGCCTAGGAAACAGACAGAGAACTGGGCTCTTTACTTCCGTTCCATTGCCCTCCCCCAGGACATTTTATGGTTTTTTCTTTTCCATTAGTAAATCCTTCAAAGGCCTGAGCATCCATTATGAGTTCAGTGTGAACCCCATGTATTTTGTTTACTGTGTTATGGCCAAACTTGATGCTGATGTCACATAATGCTTTTCTCCAGAAGTGAATTGGGACTGTCATTTGAGGGCAAACATCGGATACTCACCAGTCAAGTCCCCACAGCTCCTCTGTCCCCCCGACCTGTTCCTGTCCTCATCTTCTCCATCTCAAAATAAGATGCCAGTTACCCACCAGTTTTTTCTAGTCGCCAGCCTAGGAGTCTTGCTCCGGTCACATGCACCCCCACACCCGGGCCCACCCACATCCTGACGATGCTGCGTTCAGAATATACCTGTACTCCACTTCTCCACGGCCACCACCACGGTCCTGATGCCCTCATCTGCCTCCAGCATCCCAGCTGCTGTCCCATCCTTGGCCCTTTCCCTACAAGCTCACATCAGCAGCCACAGGAGTCTAGTTATGGTATAAATCCCTTCATGTCACTTTCCTACATAGAGCCTTCCAGTGGCATCTCATCTCCTGTAGGCAAAGATCTCAACTCCCTCTACTGGCTTCTAAGGCCCTTGGCTTGGCACACCTCTCTTCCCTTGTGCCCCACTTCCCTGCCTCCCAGCACTCCAGCCACTGTTTCTGATGTACAAGCAAGCCGAGCTTTGTCCTGCTTTAGTGCCTTGTGATTGCTGTCCCCTCTTCCTGGAACCCCAGCCTACACCATTTCATAAGATCACATCTCAAATGGCACCTCCTCCCTAACCATCCTTTCAGCCCTCCACCAGTTACCCCATCTCATAGCCTTAGCAATCTAAGCCTGTGTCTGTCTCTTCCCATGCCCCCACCCCACAGCTGGAATAGAAATGCCGTGAAGGCTGGGACCCCATCTGTGCTGTGCCCTGCTGAGCAGGTGACACAGTGCCCGGAGCACAACAGGTGCTGACTGGGTGATGCACACACACGCCTACAAGAGAGCACCCCTGATTTTAACGTGGCGCAGAGGCTTTGAATGAACTTCAGTACATCCTTTTTAGTGGCTCCTGAATTTGTTAAGATAGACTAAACTTGCTATAATAGAGAAATCCAAAAATACAGAAGGTTAAATAAGCTATGACTCTGTCTCCCTCCTTCCTTCTCCCTCACATGAGAGTCCAGAGGTAGATGGTCCACGTAGATGTGCTTTGCCCGTGAAGTCATCTACAGACCCAAGTATTTCCTGTCTTAATCCTTTCCTATGCCAGAGTCTAGGGTGTTATCTGCCTTCTCTATGGGGAAGGCAGCTCCGTGACCATGGCTGTGTTCCAGCCCGTGGGAACTGGGAAAGAGGTGGGTGGGCATGCCAGACTGAAAGATGAGACTCTGAAATTGTACCTATGACTCAGGCCTACATCCCTTTGGCAACCTAGATGCATGGTCACTCCTAGATGCCAGGGAGCCTGGGAAATCCGGTCTCTGGCTGGGTGGCCACATGCCCAACAGGAGCTCAAGAGTTTTGTAATCCTTTTTTTTTTTTTTTTTAAAGATTTTATTTATGTATTTGACAGAGAGAAACACAGCAAGAGAGGGAACATAGCAGGGGGAGTGGGAGAGGGAGAAGCAGACTTCCCGCGGAGCAGGGAGCCCGATGCGGGGCTCAATCCCAGGACCCTGGGACCATGACCTGAGCCAAAGGCAGACGCTTAACGACTGAGCCACCCAGGTGCCCCCGAAGAGTTGTGATCCTAAAAGGAAGGAAGGAAGGGATACTGGGAGATAATTAGCGGTCTCTGCCAGAGTTGCCTTACATTCTCTGACTTGCCAAGCACTAGTTGGGACAATTCAGAGCCTACAGCAGATTAACCCTTTAAGCTACTTATGTTGGGGCACCCCTTATGGCATAATGCTGTCATTAGGTAGTTATGAGAACTCAATTCTGCAAATTGTGTTTAGAACCTCCTCTGGGCCAACCTTGTCCTAGGACTGGAAGTAGATGAGACATGCCCTCCAAGAGCCTGAAGGCTTACTGGACAGTTGCTAGATGAGTACACACAGCATCACTCCCTGTGATTAGCACTGTAATGCAGGGTGGTAACGAGGCACTGAGGAGAGGGGCATCTCACTGGTTTTGGAGAGGGGAGGGAATGATCTCAGGGAAGCTTCCCAGAACTGATGACATTGGAACTGTTACTGAATCTTGGGAGGAGGGTGTGTGGATGTTTGGCGGATGCAGGGCAGGGTTTGAGGTTCAGATAGGGAGTGTTGTAAGCATTTGGGTATGACTGAACTGTAGGATGCAGGTGGAGGGGTGGATAGGAAGCCAGGTCATGAAGACCTTTTTATACCTTTCTGATAAGTTTGGGTTTCATCTTAAAGGCAACAAAGAAGTCACTGAAGGATTTTAGTGGTAGGTAAAACACATGTTTTTCTTGGGCAGGGTAGAAAGTGGGTTGCTCTGGGTAAGAAAAATGGGACTGGAGACAGCTACTCCTTCAGCAGCTGCTGTAGAGATCCAGGTGAAACTTGATGGGGCAATTTTAGGCTTTGCAATTTTTAGGCTAGAAGGTAAAATAACTAAAATCCATTTAGGTTCAGATTTGTTCTTGCTTTAATGTAGGAATTCTCCAAAAGCAAAAATACTGTTAAAATCTAGCACGGGCAAGATGAGATGAAACTGACTGGTGCTTTTAGTAGCCAGCTTCTAAGATTTAAGTAGCCAATTTTCTAAGATTATTCTACACTAGTTTTCACATACCTAAAGGTGCTCACGGAAACAAATGTGTTCATACAATTTCAAACTCTAATTTCAGCTAATTGCACGACTGAATTTCCTGGCCTCCCATGAGGCTCTCTTCAGTTGAGACTGTTAAATATGTGACAGGATCAGTCATTCTCCACTCTCTTAAGCAGACAGGTAGATACCTCAATGGACTTTGTGGCTGAAATCTTTAGGAGAATTCAGTATCTGTCAAATCAGTGATGCATTGTTACATATTAATTGCATCCTATGGTTTCCCCCATGTTTTTCCCCTTTTCATCAAAGGACAAGAGGAATTTCCTTCGTGACCCTCCAGCCGGAGTGCAGTTTAATTTTGACTTTGACCAGATGTATCCCGTCGCCCTGGTCATGCTTCAAGAGGACGAGCTGCTGAGCAGGATGAGATTCGCCCTTGTTCCTAAACTGTAAGCAGTGTGTTCCTGAGCCAGAGTAGCGCTATGCACAGTATCAAGGAAAAGGTGTGGAATGGTTTCCTACTCTCTCTCCTTGAGAACAGGCTCTGTGGCCCTTTAGCTCGCTCACTTGCTCTCTTGCTGTCTCTCTGTCTCTTTCTCTCTCTCTCTCTCTCACACACACACACACACACACACACACACACACACACAGAGCCATAGAATCAAAACTGAGAGTGGACTTCACAGGAAATTTAGGGGGAGATAAGATACACTCTTTTATCCTCAGTCCCCAGTTAGAAGCTAGAACATAGTTTCCTACAGAAACAACCAAAGTGCTCGTGTCTTCCAAATAAAATTAAGGTCTCCAAGGCCCATCAGGACCTGGCCCACTGCCTTTTTCCACTCAGGCTCTGCTCCCTGGCAGCAGTGTTCTCGTTCTCTTTCCCGCCCGAGGTTTTTCCTCTGTCCAAAGGCCCTCTTCTCCTCCGAAAGTCACTGCCTGTCCTTTGAGCTCCAATGCAAGCATAATGTCTTCAGGGGTACAACCCTGACAGGTATCAGCAGGGCCCCTCCCCCCCCCACAGAGGATCCCCTTCCCTTCCCCTCTGCCACCATGGGCTCTTACTCACCTTTTAAATTCCAATTCCTTGTTTTGAATCTGCTGCATTTTTAGTCCACAAGTCCTCTCTGAGTGCTCCTTTTTTATAGTACTCTATTCTTTTTATTTTTTTAATTTTTAAAAAGATTTTTTTTATTTATTTAGCGAGCATGAGCAGGGGGTGGGGCTCAATAAGGGGGAAGAGAGAAAATCCCAAGCTGACTCCATGCTGAGCAGGGAGTCCGACACAGGGCTCGATCCCATGACCCTGAGATCACAACCCGAGCCCAAATCAAGACTCCGCTGCTCAACCGACTGAGGCACCCTGGTTCCCCAGCACCCTATTCTTTTTAGATGGGTGCAGTATCTTCCTGTTCTTGAGAACATGAAGTATAGTTTTCTTGAAATACTCTTTTTTCCCAGTGCTTTTCTCTGAACCTTTGTGTTTGTCTTGGGCGCTGTCATTCATGGTGCAGGTTTTCCTTGCCCGTCCTTCGAATCTGAAGGCGCCGCGCTGAAGAAGCACTTGGAGCTGTGTGTCCGCGCGGGCCTTTTGGACAGGGAGGCTCAGCGGCCGAGGGCTGGGTGCTTCCCGAGAGGAGGACTCCCCCTCCTGCCTGAGCCCGAGTGTGGAGTGGCTTGGCTCGGAGTGGACTGTCGCTCCCCACTGCGTGGGAGCGCAGACCCTGGCTGGCAGGGGCAGCGCGGGAGTCACGGCAGCAGGCCGCTCCTGGGGGGCCTTGCCACCACTGCTCCTGTCCTGAGCCCAGCCTGCACCAGCCTTCAGAGACGCTTGCTGCCTCGTGTCCCCAGGTCTTTGCGAGCAGACGCCCGGTGGACAGGCCTGTTCTCGAGGCCTGTCCTCTCTGTGTGCGGCTCGCTGCAGTGCTCACTGGTCTGCAGGGTAGATTACGCTTTGCCCTTCACCTTTCCAGCTTCCACTGTGGTTTTCTCGCCAGTTCTCTTTGTCATGTGGATTTTATCTACTGAATGCCTTTTCTGTTAGTTTACAAGTGTTTTCAAAGGGAGCACAAATAAATACGTGTTCATTGTGCTATGTTTAGCTGGCCAAAGAGGGTTTTGTTTTGTTTTGTTGTTAATATTTTATTTATTTATTTGACAGAGAGAGAACACAAGTAGGCAAAGCGGCAGGCAGAGGGAGAAGCAGACTCCCCACTGAGCAGGGAGCCCGATGCGGGGCTTGATCCCAGGACCCCGGGACCATGACCTGAGCCGAAGGCAGACACTTAACCGACTGAGCCACCCAGGCGCCCCCAAACAGGAGTTTTAACAAATATTTGCTAGCCCTTTGGTTCACATGGAAGCCAAGTTCTTCTGTCTGTGTGAGAAGAACAAGTGTTCTTGCGGACTTGGAACAGCAGTTATATTGAACCTTTCACTTATGTTTACTTTGTAGTGAAACTCTTCATAATTATCAACGTGTTGGTGGTGAAGTTTTGTAGCCTTCCCCTCCCCTCCTAAAAAGAAGAGTATGTGTTATATGGCTAAAATCTCATTACAAATCTAATTCTTAGATTGTGTCTAAAGTAGCTAGTTTTGGGGTACCTGGCTGGCATTACTCTTGATCTCAGAGTCATGAGTTCAAGCCCCACATTGGGGGTAGAGATTAAATGAAATAAATAAAGTAGCTATTTTTAGTGAAGGATATCAAAAAATTATCATCTGATCTATTCTTTACTATTTTGCTCACAAAACCCTGAGAGTTGCCTTTTGAACAGTTCATGTGTATATATATCTGTTGGGCTCTCTTTCATCTCAGAATTTGAGGTTATACCTATTCTGAATAACTGCCTCCTCCTGAGAGAAAAGTAGCAAAGCTCTGGAATTCAGGTGGGCTTTGTACCTAAAGTCTCCATCAACTTGAAGACCATTCGAATCACCACGGGCCACACGGTGGGCTCCCTGCCAGAACTCTGGGGGACTGTCCAGAGGCCCGGGGATGCTGGATCGTGTGGCCTGGGGTACTCACAGCAGGCGTGTAGCCAGCTTTGGTTCCATAGCTTTGCTTGTTGACAATTCTGGACTCCTTACGGCTGAGAGTAATTTTAGAGTTTTTAAAAGATTTGGAGAGCTGGTATTTGGCAAATAGTATTTCTAGTTTGTTGCTCGCTAGGTAAATTGTCTGTTGAGTAATATAATTCCAGTTTCCTATTGTTAATTTTGTTAGGGATGATTTTAGAAATTAGGGTTATCACTTTTTATAAGTCTTTATCTGTTAGAAATGCATACTGAAATATTTGTGGATGAAAGGCTGTAATATCTGGCATTGCCGTAAAATATTCCATCCCACACCCAGAGAAAGGCATGCGTGCAGGGGAGAGGAGCATAGATAAAACATGATTGGCAAAATACTGGTGATTATTGGCTAGGTCCCGGGTACATCGGGGCTTCTTTGTCCTAGTCGCTTCACTTTTGTTTTTGTTGAAACTTCCATAATAAAACAAATGAGCCATCATCACACACAAATCCAGGACTTCTGGACTTTCCTTTCTGGCATGCAGAAGTGCAACTTTGATCATTTGAGACACTTCTTGTAAACAGAAGCCATCATTACCCAGGAACAATTTAGAAAATCATTCAGAACAAACACTTGCTCTGTATTTCAAAATACCTTCTAGTGCGTGAACACTTCCCTGCAACACCAGTGCTGGCATGAGCCAGGACTCTTGCATCACAAACACCCTCTGAGGCCTTCACTCTTGACAACAGTAGAAAAATCACAAGTCCTTTCCAGCCTGGGACTGACCTATGCCCATTGTTTCTCAGAGGGTGTTTACAGCATTCTAATGCCTTAAAATAGTCCATGAAAGCATAAGTGGTAAGATAGACATTTGGGAGTTGCTATGTTTCATGGTTTTTTTTATCATAGGGCTTCTCAGAATCTTTTTTTTTTTTTTTAAGATTTTATTTATTAGAGAGAGAGAGTGTGCATGAGCAGGGGAGAAGGGCAGAGGGAGAGGGAGAAGCAGACTCCCCACGGAGCAGGGAGCCCGATGCAGGGCTCCATCCCAGGACCCTGAGATCGTGACCTGAGCCAAAGGCAGGCACTTAAGCTGACTGAGCCAGCCAGGTGCCCCTCTCAGGATCTTTATTATGTCATGCGCATTGTGACTCTGTCCAGAGTGTAACAGAATATTTCTCTAGAGTGCCTCTGTAACCACTTTCTCTTACATCAAGAGGGAGAGACTCTGGGAAAGGAAATAGTCCAGATGTTTGTTTCTATTAAGAGAGCAAACATTGCCCATAATCTGCTGTAGATTGGTGTGGTACACCTGTTTCATTTTGGATATTTCGTAGAGCTCAGAATTAAGTGACTTTGAAAACATTCAGGCAGCTCACTACCTCACGGGAAGCTAAGCTCACTTCTGTCTAACTGTGATGTTAACAGTGTAGGATTCTTGAACTTATCCAGGTAAAGAGCCCCAGTTCTTTTTTTTTGTTCCCTGGGGTATCTTCAGTTCTATATTATATAGATATAGAATATCTATAGATATATATATATATTCTATATATCTTCAGTTCTATTCTATACCCCTTCACCATCTAGCTCCAAAAGTGAGTTCTCCGAAGTGAATATAAAGTGTTGTCTAATTACAGAAGAGCACACTACAGGTATTTATTGTATTGCTTTTTAAAGATTTATTTATTTTACTTATTGACAGGGTTGGGGGTGGAGAATCCTGAAGCAGCCTCCCTGCTGAGCGGGAAGCCTGACACAGGGCTCGATCCCACGACCCCGAGATCATGACCTGAGCTGAAACCAAAAGTCAGGCACTTAACCAACTGAGCCACCCAGGTGCTCCTTGTGTTGCTTTTTAATGCTGCCTAAGATTTTGTTAGCTTTTCTAGTGGCTGCAGCATACTCTTGTTTGCTCAAACTTGTGGTTGACTGTAATACCTCACAAACTGCTTTTAAGCCACGCCTCCCTCCTGCTGAACTATTTCTGAGAGATGTTATAAAGAAAAGAGAATCGTGAGACCACATGAGTTTGGGAAATGCTACTTGTCATTTACTTGGCATAGTAAGAACTTAACAAGTAAGAGGTCATTATTCCTGTGACCATCTGTGTTGGCAGATAACTTGGTTTATTCGTCCCTGAATCACCTGGATAGGGCCTGATGCATGTGGCGCTCAGTAAATATTGGTGGAATTAATGAAAGAAAAGATGGGCTGCATCTAGCAGCATGTCATCTTGTTACCTAGCCTAGCCTGTGTAGATAATCTTGTATTTTGCCTCTGTTGCTTAAAAAAGCCAGCCTCTGTTGGGGCACTTAGTTGGTTCAGTTGGTTAAGCGTCCGTCTCTTGATTTTGGCTCAGGTCATGATCTCAGGGTTGTAAGATCGAGCCCCACATTGGGCTCCACGGTGGGTGTGAAACCTGCCTAAGATTCTCTCTCGCTCCCCTACTCCCTCTCTTAAAAAAGAAAAAAAAAAAGGCTAGCCTCTGTCACTTAAAAAGCTAGTCTCCTGGCCCAGCTTCACCATTCACAGATGTGACAACTGTGTGTTCTTATGTCTTACCTAAGGCAAGTCCTGTCTTCATCCATAAGCCTGCATCTCAGAATTTTCTCTTAGTTCTCATTGATTTTCTTCTGTTCCTTCAAAATCTTTTTCAGTCATGCTTTCTTCCCCAAGTTTCTCACCATTCTAAGACCCTGCATCCCTTCAAGTAAACCAGGGGGTAGAGAGGCATTCTGCTACCGTTTTGTCACTTCTACTAGCAAAATGTTTTGGGAACACAAAATGAGTGACTCCTGCTGGCAAAAAAAAGCCCTACACATACTCCACAGGTCACCAGAGCCATTGCTAGTTAGGTGATAGGGATGAACATTTTTTTTTTTAAGATTTTATTTATTTATTTGACAGAGAGAGACACAGAGAGAGAGGGAACACAAGCAGGGGGACTGGGAGAGGGAGAAGCAGGCTTCCCGCGGAGCAGGGAGCCCGATGTGGGGCTCGATCCCAGGACCCTGGGACCATGACCTGAGCCGAAGGCAGACGCTTAACGACTGAGCCACCCAGGCGCCCCTAGGGTGAACATTTTGTTTTTTGTTGAGTTTTGTTTTGCCTTCCACCCTCAAGATTTTATTTAATTGCTCTGAGGTAAGCATAGTCATCAATGTTGTTTTTTACTTTTAAACAATCACACCTTTATATAGAAAGGTTGGAGGTTTCGCATAAAAACTTCTCTTTCCACTCATTCGAGACCTGATGCTCCATCAGTCCTGACCGCTTTAGTGTGTATTTCGTACAAACAAGGCTTTTCCTACATAACCATCCAAATCAGGAAACGGTCATTTATGCATTACTGCCATCTGATTCTCAGACCCCATTCAAGCTTTATCATTTGTCCCAATGTCCTCTTTAGCAAAAGGATCCAGTACAGACTCACATGTTGCATTTAGTTTTCATGTCTCGTCAGTCTCCTTCAGTCTGTTGCATCCTGTCAGGTGGTACACACTGCCATTTTGTCCCGTTACTGTCTCCACACTTTGGTCACTTCACTTGATGAAGGTGGTTTCTGCCAGACTTCTTGACTGTAAAGTTACTTCTTTCCTCTTTGAAATTAGTAAGTATTTTCTGGAGAGGTACTTTGAACTCTGTAAAAATATTCCATTCCTTATCAGACTTTGAACGTATTCATGTATTTATTTGTATCTGTATAGACTCATGGTTCTGTTTTATGCAGTGGTTATAATCCATTGCTATCGTTATGTACTTTGATGCTCAAAATGTCACCAACTTGGCCAGTGGGAGCCCATTCCAAGTTGGCTTCTGTGTCTTTTTGACTCATTCTCATCATTCTTTAAGTGCTTCCTTGCTTTCTGGTATGGGGTAATCCAGGCTCATCTTGTTCTCTCCTTTGTAACCCTGGAATTGGCTACTTATCCAAAGAGATCTGGTTCATTTTAGTGGAAAATGGTGTACAGACACCAAGATCTGAGCACTAGTCATGTTCATTGCTATTGGGGTATCACTACTCCTTGGTCCGCTCAGCAGACAGAGCTAGGGAATATTTGTGTGCTCGTGTATATACACATACACTCATTTGCATCTCTATTGGATGAAAACCATGTATTCATGGTGCTACCTCACCACAGGGATCATTCTAGAATTTTCCTTTCAGTGTTTGTAACTCCCTTCTCTGACCATGAGAAACTTGGTTTGCACTGTCCTTAATATTTCTATTTAATTGATCAACCCCCTGCGTGTAACCAGTCTTCCATTTTCGCCAGCACCCCCTCCCCTGCTCAGACACCCTCCTCTCCCAGCTCAGGCTGTCATTCCCCATTCCAGGCCACCCCCATGTGAACGCTCACCTTACCCAGCTTGGTTACCAGCACCCCCTGCTAGGTGATTCTCATATGCAGACAAGTTTGAGGACCACTGAGGGTTCTCGGCTTGGACTGCACTTTAGTCTTCTTATCAGTCCTCTCCCACCTCCCTGCTAACTCTTACTGATTGCTAGTTATTTGCATGCTGCCAGATGTTTCCTTTCGTAATGAATAACACCCACAATCCTTTTCTTGTCACTGCTTGAAAGCTCTTAATCATTCGGTAAACAGCAAAATACAGTGCAGTCCTGGCTGCATTTGCAGCCTCCCGGGTTGGTGTGCCGGTCTCACAACAGTGCCTCTTTCCTCTGCTGAGGGCAGTGTTGGTGTCATTAAAATACCAAGAAATGCAGATGTTTCATTGGTGTTCTGTAAGTTGTCTTTTGCTGCTATGGAGAAAATAGCTATTCTTTTTATCCTGTCCCGCAGCTTCCAGTTCAAAAGCAAGTGAGAGTCTCTTTTGAGCCTCACTCAGATTTGAAAATGCCCCCCAAAAAATCATCTCTTCCCGCCTCCACTAAAACAAATAACCCCCTGCATGCATGTGTATGTGTTGCATGCATTCTCAAATGTGTTGTTGTCTGTCCTGAAAAGCGTGAAGGAAGACGTGTTTTGGAGGAACTACTTTTACCGCGTCTCCCTGATTAAGCAGTCAGCCCAGCTCACAGCCCTGGCCGCCCAGCAGCAGGCCTCCGGGAAGGAGGAGAAGAGCCATGGCACTGAGGAGGACCTGCCACTGGCAGGTATGTTCAGAGAAGACTTCACTGTGTGTAAAAAAAAAAAAAAAAAGAAAGAAAGAAAGAAAAAAGAGTTACTTTAAAAATATTCTTAGAGACTCTTATGAGCTTGTCATCTTTTATGTACCAAAAATGTCATTGTCATCTTCTGGAAAACTCTTTCCAGAGGAATATTCATTCTCATTGCTCTCTCTCTGACCCTGCTCACACATCTTCCCCAAGCTTTGCTCTCCTTTGCTTTCTTTTTCTTGTTCTTCAGGGTTTTTACTTCCTTTTTATTTCTCCCTCAGTCACTAGTCATTATCCTATCTCTTTCCTTGCCCTTTATGATTTTATACCTTCTTTCCTCTACCGATTCAGTCCACCGCTTTTCTTTGTTTCTCTGCCTTCCATTCAAGCCGCTGCTCCCCTAGTACTGTACTCTGTAGAGCAGAACTGAGCTCCATTCCACTCCAAGTTACCAGTGTCTAGCCCAGACCTAGGCACCATTATGGTGCACGTCGGACTTTTACTGTGACAGTTGACCCCTGGTTGTTGGGGAAGTGTTTTATAATACCAGCAACAATTTAAGATCTGTAATAGTAATTAAAATCAGAAAGGTATTAAAAAAATAAGAAGAAAGGTATTTTGTGTCATATTTTTAACGTTTCATGAACACCTGTGTGTAGGTACTGATTACAACTAGAGACTTAACCTGTTCGTGGAATTTTAAATAATTATGCATCGTGTATCCTAAGGCACAGGTTGTACAGAGCACCCGAAGAGAAGCTGACACTGCATTTAGGGTCAGGGAAATGTAATGAAGTTGCTCTACACAGTAAAATTTGGCATTTTGCATATAGATGTTAAAAAGAATCCCAATTGTCTATTATTCTTAACTATTTGTTTTCATTGATTTTATTAGAAAATGCCGTTTTACCAAATAACTGCCTGTATTACAAAATGGGCTTAAGACAGGATTCAGTAAAGACTGCACACCTAGTAAGGTTCATAAGAAAGAAAATGCGGCCCAGGAGAAAGAGGGGAAGCTGTGACTGAGTGTTGCACTTTGCTCTGTGCTTCCTAGCATTCGTGACAAATGGAAAATTTGATAAATAACTGAATTCTCAGTATCCTAAAAGAAGGAGCAGATCTATTCCTGAATTTGATCTCAGCTAACACTGAGGTCAAAATTTATTTCCTGCTTGGAAATCTTGTATGAAGGGCATCAAATATGATGACATAAAAAAAAAAATTCCCAGAAGAAAGAAGTTGAAATGGTCTCACCTAGCTATTTCTTGAAAGCATAACATAAAAGCTCATTTCTGAAAATTATTTAGTATCGTCATACTTGTGGATATTTTAGTTGTTACTATAATATGTATTCAGAATTGAATCAAGCAATTTTTGTCTCTTTTATTCTCACTTCTTAGAGGCAGTACGGCCCAAAACGCCACCTGTTGTAATCAAATCTCAGCTTAAAACTCAAGAGGTAATACAGTTTTACATTGTATCTAGTAGTTGTCTGGAAATGAAGTAACTTTGTGTTAACTATCTCAGATCCCATTTGAAACTGCTTATGAATATGGGACTTACCTGTTTTGAAGAAGAGGGGTCCAGCACTTGCACAGTTAGGGACCTGTAGCTGAGACATGAGGTGATTCCCTGGTATCAGTCATCTTAGATGTGCTCCCGGGAATTAGACTGAATTACTGGAGTGACCCAAACTGTGAGAGAGCATAGTGGACTCAGGTGATAGTTCATCTGGTTCCCAAGCAGCTGCGCAGGTTAGAAGGCTGGAGAGCAGTGAGCATCTGACTAGCAGAGGAAGGAGACAAAAGGGACACTTTTTCTAATGCCGCTTAGAAAACCATTCCCAGAGCTCCTTTGTTGCATTTCAGGATGAAGAGGAGATTTCGACCAGCCCAGGGGTTTCTGAGTTTGTCAGTGACGCCTTTGATGCCTGTAACTTAAATCAGGAGGATCTGAGGAAGGAAATGGAGCAACTGGTTCTTGACAAAAAGGAGGAGGAGACAGCCGTTCTAGAAGGTACCAGACAAACAAAATAGCTGTGCTCTTTTCCGATTCCGAAGTTGATTATAGAAAATGTCATTCTGAAGCAGACATATACAAACATACTGTAACTTCTGCGTCAGAATCGCTTCTCTGTTCCCTATTAGAAGATAGATTCTAGCACACATGACCAGACCTCACATCCCTCTGCCTTAAGCATGCACAGGAGTGTAGAGAGGAGAAACTGAGCCCAGAGAGGATAAGTGATTGGTCCAAGGCACCTCAGCCCCAAGAACATGTGGCCAGCAACAGGCGACAAAGAGTGCATACCCTTTCACTTAGAGACACCGTCCTCCAGCCTTCTACTTGGGTTTATACTTTTTTTTTTTTTAAGATTTTATTATTTGAGAGAGAGCGAGCGTGTGCACATGAGCAGGGAAAAGGGCAGAGGGAGAAGCAGGCTCCCCGATGAGTAGGAAGCCCGACATGGGGCTTGATCCCAGGACCCTGAGGTCATGATCTGAGTCAAAGGCAGACACTTAACTGACTGAGCCACCCAGGAGCCCGTTGGCTTTATACTTCTATGTAGAAGATTCTTTTTCCTGCTGCTGTGTGCCACAAGAGCATTGCTTCTGGGAAGGAGCATGCTGCCTTTAAAAAAATAGTAATTTAGAGACAAAGTACAAGTGGGGTTGGGGTCGGCTGCTTTCTTTGGCACATCAGGACAAATGACTGGCTTTCTACTGGATGAAAAGCAAAGGCTCGGGTTAATCATCATCAAATGAAGAGTGTTTCATGAAGCCTTCTGAGACTTAAATGTACTCAGGAAGCCAGCTCTCCCCCATTTGTACAGAGAACACCCGTGAGAAAACTAGCCTCCCAGAGGTGAACTGGAACCCTGATGGCACACTGTGGAGGGACTTTGGAGGAAAGAATTGGGAAGGAAGGAGGAGGGAAGAGCTTCTGGGGGAAAGAGAGGCCAGAGGGGAAGTGAAAACTTGGACTCGCTAGGTGCCTCAGACCCCTCCCACCCCCATCTGTTTCTCATGCAGAGGGCTGCTAGCCACTGCGGAAGGACACTGGGCAAGAGCCCCGGGTGTTGGAGGTGATAGCTAGAGCAGACTGCGCGCTGGTTCCCTTTTTGCCGGTGATGACTGGTAGCACGGGCCCCACAGGAAACTGGAAGTGGCCCTGAGGCAGGAGTCATAAGGTGCTGGCTGGATGCTCTGGGCAAGCTGTTCTTTCATCGAATTCCTGCCCGAGTTATAATTTGGACCACATAATATTCTTTTATATTTCATTGTCTTGGCCCCCGAGCTAAACTATAAGTTCCTCAAGGGCAGTTACACCTTGTTTTTGTTACCCCACAGTACCTGACATGGGGTCTGGCACCCAGCCAGCCCCTAATAAATATTTGTGACATTGGTGGTTTGCCAAGCAACACACCGTGTCCTTTCCCTTGAGTCTCCACTGCCAAGAAAAATTAAAACATTTGGTTTTTGTTTTCTCTATAACTACTAAGTTTAAGGTATGTATGTATTTATTTATTTTTAAAGATTTTATTTATTTATTTGTCAGAGGGAGCGCAAGCAGAGGGAGGGGCACTCAGAGCAGGCAGAGGGAGAAGCAGACTCCCTGCTGAGCAAACAGCCTGACGTGGGACTCAATCCCAGGACCCTGGGATCATGACCTGCGCCGAAAGCAGATGCTTAATGACTGAGCCACCCAGGCGTCCCAAGGTTTCTTTTTTAAAAGAAGAAAATAGAAGGATGCCTGGGTGGGTCAGTTGGTTAAGCGTCTGCCTTCGGCTCAGGCTGTGATCTCAGGATCCTGGGATCGAGTCCCGCATCGGGCTCCCTGCTCAGCAGGGAGTCTCTTCTCCCTCTGCCTGCCACATCCCCTGCTTGTGCTCTCTCTCATAAATAAATAAAATCTTTTTTAAAAAAAAAGAAGAAGAAAATGGAGGCGCCCGCTGGCTCAGTCAGTGGAACGTGTGACTCTTGATCTCAGGGTTGTGAGTTCAAGCCCCACATTGGGCATAGAGATTACTTAAAATCTTAAAAAAAAAAAGATGAAAATGAATTTTAGCTTTACTTTTTAAATAGCTGGTTTGTTTGTTTTCTATTTCATAACACCACATAGCAGTTGTCTTATCGTCTGCATACATACATATATGTACACGTACACATCACACACACAACACACACATACATTGAGGTTCTAAGTGGAAAGTTGCAGTTCTGAATCTCAGCACAGAAGAGGAACGTGAGAGCTTAGATGGAGCCCAGTGTGAGGGGCCAGGCTTCATCAAGAGGCCTTCTGACTTCAGGTTCTGGTATCCATTGCCACTCTAGGAAAACTACTGCTAAAGTTCTTATGCACAGACTGTGAAGCCTGCAGATCTGGCTCCATCTGGATGCCTGGTGCTATCAAGCTTGTGTGTTCTTGGGCAAGTCACTTAACCTCTCTAAGCCTCTGTTTTCCAACCTATAAAATGTGCAGCAGTGTATCTAGTCCCTGGATTGTTCTAAGGATGGAAAAAAAGGGGGCGGGGGAGTGATATGTAGAAAGAAGTTAGCACCGTCCCAGCTCAGTGATTGCTCAAGAAATGCTAGCTGTTTTTTCCTACCATCGTCATCCTTAATAGTGGTAAAAATTAATTTGCAACCAAATACTAATTATCAACTATCCATTTAAATATAAGGAAAAGCAGAGGTTTTAGAAATCAAAATAACACCCAAACGTACAGCACTTAACCGATTTATCTTTCTAATCATATTTCCCTTGGGTTACTGTTAAAATTTGGTCAGTTTTTCTGAGCACACATGGCGAGGAAGCTTGAGATGTTAAAAATTATCATGGCTAGGACTTCCACAGGGAATTATACTTGACCGAGTTGTTAAAACCAGCATTGTGAATTCAGAGAGAATCTTTTCCTTCTCATTTGTTTCTTTCAGAAGATTCTGCAGATTGGGAAAAAGAACTACAACAGGAACTTCAGGAATATGAAGTGGTGACAGAATCAGAGAAACGAGATGAAAACTGGGATAAGGAAATAGAGAAAATGCTGCAGGAGGAAAATTAGCTCTTTCCTGAAATAAAAGAATAATGCTTAACAGTCTGTAACTGACATTAAATTCTAGATGACGACACTCGCTGAATCAGAAGGCAAAAAAGATTGGTATAACTAAAAAATTCAAGATTATTCTTTTTTTCAAGCTGAAATTTGCCTTTTTTGCGTTTATAAAAAATATATAGAACAGTTATTCTAATAATCAAAAAGGGATGTTTTATGTAATATTTCTTTAATATAAACCTAGTTAGAGATATTTGTGTAGTCACTATGGATATCTTTGCCACAGAAATGCAAGTAAAATTTTAGAGTTCTGTTTTCCATGAGGTCAGAATTATAATTTATTCTTCAGTTGTTTTTTCCTAAACATTTGTACTACTTGTTGCATTTTCACTGATACATGTATTTGTTGAAGTACTTACTTAATGGATTGATAACTATCACAATGACCAAACTGTACCAAAGAACTTAAGAAGAAGCACTTTCAAGACTATTTTCTTGGTAGGTATTTTCTAAAATTCCCTCTAGAAGCCAAAAGATAAGATAATTATGTTGATTTTCATAGTGTAAACATCACACAATTTGACATTGAGAAATACTGTGCAAAAACATTTGTTTTTCTCTAGGGCCTTTTCTTTCTTGTGTTGTTGTTTGTTTGTTTCTTTTTTTTTTTTAACTATACCACGTTTAATATCATTGCTTTCCTAAATTCCACGTCACAGTTTTTGTAGAAAGCGGGGGCCTTTTGTCCTTTTTATATTAATGACCTTCATAAGCCCATTCACCTTACAGTCTCTTGTTTTTGTTTAAATCGTCATCACATATAAATGTTTCAGCTTTGTTTGTCTTAATTAAACTGTCAGTCCTTATAAAATTGTGTTCCTCTCAGTACAACTTGTGGAACTTCACTGCTCAATCCTGCTTGTATTCTACACCAGCAGGCCCATGCTCAGAGGATATGGTGTTTTAAAAGAACAAGGTGGTTGGGCACCTGGGTGGCTCAGATGGTTAAGCGTCTGCCTTCGGCTCAGGTCATGATCCCAGAGTCCTGGGATCGAGTCCCGCATCAGGCTCCCTCTGTTTCTCTCTCTCTCTCTTTCTCTCCCTCTCTCTCTCTCCCTCTGTCTCTCATGAATAAATAAATAAAATCTTTAAAAAAAATAAAATAAAAGAACAAGGTGGCTTAATGTCAGAACACTTCGGAGGCATTTGCTTCCTAAAACGTTCATATTTTTCAAGGAACCTTTATTTCATAAAAGGGAATAGAATTAAGACAATCCTTTATAGGAAAAATGTACATATTTCTATTCTTCACTCCATAAAAACTAGTCCATGGTCCTCTGGCAAAGGTATAGTCAACGAGAGAACTGGGTGTGCATCCAAGCTTTCCTCTTGTTTGTAGCTTGGTGCACACACTTGTGAATGAGCCAGACTGTCTCAGCTGAGATCCCTTGGGTTATAGCAATAAACTCACGTATTCTGTGAAACCACTGACTCCATTATGAAGGGATCTTCACTTGTGGTGCCACAGTTACTGATTACGGAGTTTGGGTTCAGAGATGGTGACTGGCAACTTCTAAAATAATCCTATTGAAGGGAAAAGTTTGGGTTTTTTTAAAGTAGAGTTTTCTGGAGGGAAAGAAACATGTAAAATGTTTTTAAGTAGCTAAAAGTCCTGGATGTAAGCAGATCAGAATATGACAGTGCTTGGCTCTTGGTATATGCGCTAAAATTCACATTGTTGAATAAATACAAAAAAGCAAAGGTTTCAGAGAAAGTAAAAAAAAAAAAACTAAAATGACAATAGACATTGTAGTTGTTACTATCAACTTTACATGATACTCTTATTGCATTTAAAAACAACCTAATTGTGCATTGCTTTATGAAAACAGAAGGCTAAAATAAGATTTAATACACAGCATAAAAATACAGTTATGCTCTATTTTTATGATTCAAATAGGAGTAAAATGTTCTGCTCTTTTAAGTGATACAGATAACTGAAGTGTATTCCTTTAAAGGGAAAAATAATTTGTAACCATGTTGGGTGGAAAATTTCTAATGGGGGATAGCCAACAAGCTATGCTGAGCATAAAAACACATAAGCTTCACACTATGGGGATTAAACCTCACTACTCACAGTGTGGCTCAGGAACCAGCGATGGCCTGCCCTAGGAGTTTGCTAGAAATGCAGAGTTTCAGGCCATGCCACAGACCTGCTGGCCAAGACCCTGCCCGTTACCGAGACCCCCAGGGATTAGAATGGGCTTTACAGTTTGAGGCGCATTGGACTAACGCACTAATGCCCTCAGGGCAACCAGGGTTGCTGGTGCTTTTTACTTTGTACCCTTCCACTAGCATCGTTGGGTGATGGGGTCTTTCTAGTTGGTGTTACAGATACCTCCTCTACTGTTCCAGTCAGTTCCTGCTACCGATTCACCTTTTCACACTGCCAAATAAAGAGGAACCAAGCTCCCAGGGAGACCATGAATAATCCTGCTAAGTCAGATCTCTCTGATGTCACACATTTCAGAGGAAAATGACAACACCACAAAGTGCAGAGATAAGGCTCCCTGAGAACTGTTTCACATGTTCACAAGCTTTCCCTGAGGTTCTTGAGCGGCCTCAGAGGGCTGATGTCCCCCGAAGGCCATAAAGGATGGAATGTACCATGTATGGCACGTTCATGCACATGAAATCAAGTAAAAATATTTGGAAAGGTAGTAGAGTATGGACCCAAACTATGTCTTTAAGGCCAATTTTCGGTACATGGAGTCTTATTTTACAAGAATGGAAACTTTATTTGCAGTTCCAGCAGTTTATGGCAAGCAAGTAAAGTCCACGGATGCAGCCAGTCTCAGCAGGAGCTCGTGCTCTGCTACTGCCAACTCAGTTACAATGTCACAAATTCATATGCAAAAGTGGCAACTTCTTACAAGAAGTGGGAAATCTCGGTATTGAAAAGTTAAAACTAGAGAACCTTATCTTTTAGTAGATAAGACAGCAATGAACGATACTTGTAACTCAGAGTGCTTTCAGATACCCTACAGTAAGCAAGATGGTTTTTCACAAACTATTATTACAAATAGGATTTTTAGGACAATTTAAAGGTTTACAAAAAAAAAAAAACACGATCACATCCAACTTGCAATAGTTTATTTCCCACCTTGACCACTTTGGTATAAAAACCACGACTTCAGTGAATGTGCTTCTATAATTTAAATAATTTGATATGGTTCTTTCTGGTAATAGATTTTTCCCTCCATTTTATTTATTTATTTTTTTAAGATTTTATTTATCTATTCATGAGAGACGATCCCAGGACCCTGGGATCATGACCTAAGCCGAAGGCAGACGCTTAACCATCTGAGCCACCCAGGCGCCCTCCCTCCATTTTAAAGTAATACCTTTTTCAACTGCAAAAATGAGGGGCATTTAATTTTCGCAAATTTATGTTTCAGCTTTTTAAAAGTGGTAGGAATTTTTATATAGTTTATATAATCAGTTTTATGGGGGGAGAACAGGCCTTTTTAATAAATGATTATTTCCAGACTATATTGATAGGAAAATAAAATTACAAAATGCATGTTACAATCGCCAAAAAAGATGGTGCTTAGAAAACTAATGAGTCATGACAGATGACAAATATATATTCATGAATCTTTAATCACATGCAGTTACATATTTCTTATAAATCAATTGTTTATCTGGTCTTCACACTTAGGGATTTGTTCAGATGAAGCCGTTTATGATTTCAGTTGTTAAACTAGTTTTTAACAGCATTTATTCAGTGCATTCTGATTTATTTCCAATATGAAAAAACTATATTCCACTTTGTTCTGAATAAATAAACCTCATTTTTAGTGATAAGATATGTTATAATGGTTTTTCCTGAATAACTAAAAATTCTCTTCCAATAAGGACCTATAAATATTTCAAAGTTACCTGGTATGTAGGCTTCTATTAGAATTAAAACTGCCTTGAGAAGGTATTGAGTTGTTTTTTTTTTTTTTAATTTTATTTATTCACTTGAGGAGAAGGTATTGAGTTTTAAGAACACATTTTACGGGGCACCTGGGTGGCTTGGTTGGTTGGGCGACTGCCTTCGGCTCAGGTCATGATCCTGGAGTCCCGGGATCAAGTCCCGCATCGGGCTCTCTGCTCGGCAGGGAGTCTGCTTCTCCCTCTGACCCTCTTCCCTCTCGTGCTCTCTGTCTCTCATTCTCTCTCTCAAATAAATAAATAAAATCTTTAAAAAAAAAAACAACACATTTTACTTTCACTGTAGATGACTACTGAAGTGCAGTGGGTTGTCCTTCATAATAAAAAATAATTTTAATCCAGTCAGCAGGCCTTTTACTCTAAAGCTACTGCAGGATTTTTCCCTCCAGTAGTGATAGTAATATTGATCTATCTTGTTCTTTCCTGATAACCATGATGAGCACTGATGATGCTTCTGCTGGCTAAAGGTCAAACTCACCAAGGTTAACCAGTTCTCACTAAAGCCGAGGGGAAAATATTTAAGCCTGTGATCTAATAGGGGCACCTGGCTGGCTCAGTCGGTAGAGCATGTGACTCTTGATCTTGGGGTTGAGTTCAAACCCTACGTTGGGCCTAGAGCTTACTTAAAAAACAAACAAAAAAACCCCACAAATGACCTAATAGAGATAATAGATCAATTCAACATAATAGAGGATTTGGGTAACTACCACTAAAGAATCCACATTATGATCATGAAAATAGCCAGTAAGTACATAATATTCTCTGCCATATTGCACTTAGTGCAAAAATCAAGATACAGCAAAATGGCCACATCACTCAACATTAACTCTCATGGAGACACTGCAGGGTATAGACGTGATGTGGGAACTGAGCTAAATCATGTCCCTCTACCAAAAGAGTGTGGCACAAGATGCGACACTGGAGCACCAGACTGGCTCAGGTTGTGGAGTGTGTGGCTCTTGATCTCAGCATCATGAGTTCAAGCTCCACATTGGGCCTGGACTTTACTTGAAAAAAAATGTGGGGCGCCTGGTTGGCTTAGTTAAGTGTCTGCCTTCGGCTCAGGTCATGATCCGGGGTCCTGGATGGGGATCCCTGCTCAGCAGGGAGCCTGCCTCTCCCTCCGCCTGCCGCTTCCCCTGCTTATGCTTGCTCTCTCCCTCTCTCTGTGTCAAATAAATAAAATCTTTATAAAAAATAATGCCATCAGGGGCGCCTGGGTGGCTCAGCCATTAAGTGTCTGCCTTCTGCTCAGGTCATGATCCCAGGGTCCTGGGATCGAGCCCCGCATCGGGCTCCCTGCTCCGCAGGAAGCCTGCTTGTCCCTCTCCCACTCCCCCTGCTTGTGTTCCCTCTCTCCCTGTGTCTCTCTCTGTCAAATAAATAAAATCTTAAAAAAAAAAAATGCCATCAGCAAGATTAGTGTAGCGTTCTTTGTTCATTGAACTAACAAAACGAGTGCTTGTGAAATTAAGGCATGAAAATAGACACAATTAAATCTGGACAACACACAAAAGTAATTTCTTAACAAGAACATGGGATGCATGTCTTACTGTCCCTAGTACCACACTTTGAGGAATGAGGCTAAGCCAGTGAATTTCTTGACCTAAGGCAGTGACCCTGCACTTGAGAACCACCTGGGAGCTTTAAAAATGCTGATGCCCAAGCCCCACCCCCAGAGAGGCTAACTGGTTGGGGATGTAGCCTGGGCATAGGGTTGTTTTTGTTTTTGTTTTATAAACTCCCCAAGTCGTTCTGAAGAGCAGC